TAACAAGGGTAACAAGGGCAACAAGGGTAACAAGGGCAACAAAGGGCAACAAAGGGTAACAAGGGTAACAAAGGGTAACAAGGGTAACAAGGGTAACAAGGGGTAACAAGGGTAACAAGGGTAACAAAGGGTAACAAGGGGGTAACAAGGGGAAACAAGGGTAACAAGGGTAACAAGGGTAACAAAGGGTAACAAGGGTAACAAGGGTAACAAGGGGTAACAAGGGTAACAAGGGGTAACAAGGGTAACAAAGGGTAACAAGGGTAACAAGGGTAACAAAGGGTAACAAGGGTAACAAGGGTAACAAGGGCAAACAACAAGGGTAACAAGGGTAACAAAGGGTAACAAGGGTAACAAGGGGTAACAAGGGTAACAAGGGGTAACAAGGGTAACAAAGGGTAACAAGGGTAACAAGGGTAACAAGGGGTAACAAGGGTAACAAAGGGTAACAAGGGTAACAAGGGTAACAAGGGTAACAAAGGGTAACAAGGGTAACAAAGGGTAACAAGGGTAACAAGGATAACAAAGGGTAACAAGGGCAACAAGGTAACAAAGGCAACAAAGGGTAACAAAGGGTAACAAGGGTAACAAGGGTAACAAGGGTAACAAGGGTAACAAGGGTAACAAGGGTAACAAGGGTAACAAAGGGTAACAAGGGTAACAAAGGGGTAACAAAGGTAACAAAGGGTAACAAGGGGTAACAAGGGGGCAAAACAAGGGTAACAAAGGGTAACAAGGGTAACAAGGGTAACAAAGGGTAACAAGGGTAACAAGGGTAACAAGGGTAACAAAAGGGTAACAAGGGTAACAAGGGTAACAAGGGGTAACAAGGGTAACAAGGGTAACAAGGGTAACAAGGGCAACAAGGGCAACAAGGGTAACAAGGGTAACAAGGGTAACAAAAGGGTAACAAGGGTAACAAGGGTAACAACAACAAGGGTAACAAAGGGTAACAAAAGGGTAACAAGGGTAAAAAAGGGGTAACAAGGCAACAAGGGTAACAAAGGGTAACAAGGGTAACAAGGGTAACAAAGGGCAACAAGGGCAACAAGGGGTAACAAGGGTAACAAAGGGTAACAAGGGGTAACAAGGGTAACAAGGGGTAACAAGGGTAACAACAAGGGTAACAAGGGGTAACAAGGGGTAACAAGGGCAACAAAGGGTAAAAGGGTAACAAGGGTAACAAAGGGTAACAAGGGTAAAAAAAGGGTAACAAGGGAAACAAGGGTAACAAGGTAAAAAGGGTAACAAGGGTAACAAGGGTAACAAAGGGTAACAAGGGTAACAAGGGGTAACAAGGGGTAACAAGGGGTAACAAGGGTAACAAGGGTAACAAGGGGTAACAAGGGGTAACAAGGGTAACAAGGGTAACAAAGGGTAACAAGGGTAACAAGGGGTAACAAGGGTAACAAGGGTAACAAAGGGTAACAAGGGGGAACAAGGGTAACAAGGGTAACAAGGGTAACAAGGGTAACAAAGGGTAACAAGGGGTAACAAAAGGGCAACAAGGGGTAACAAAGGGTAACAAGGGTAACAAAGGGTAACAAGGGCAACAAGGGTAACAAGGGTAACAAGGGTAACAAAGGGTAACAAGGGAAAAAAGGGTAACAAGGGTAACAAGGGGTAACAAACAACAAAGGGTAACAAAGGGTAACAAGGGTAACAAGGGTAACAAAGGGTAACAAGGGTAAAAAGGGTAACAAGGGTAACAAGGGTAAACAAAGGGTAACAAGGGTAACAAGGGGTAACAAAGGGTAACAAAAGGGTAACAAGGGGTAAGGGTAAAGGGGTAACAAGGGTAACAAGGGTAACAAAGGGTAACAAGGGTAAAAAGGGTAACAAAGGGTAACAAGGGGTAACAAGGGTAACAAAGGGTAACAAGGGTAACAAGGGTAACAAGGGGTAACAAGGGTAACAAAGGGTAACAAGGGTAACAAAGGGTAACAAGGGTAACAAAGGGTAACAAGGGGTAACAAGGGTAACAAAGGGTAACCAAGGGTAACAAGGGGTAACAAGGGTAACAAAGGGTAACAAGGGTAACAAGGGTAACAAAGGTAACAAAGGGTAACAAAGGGGTAACAAGGGTAAACAAAAAGGGTAACAAAAAGGGTAACAAGGGTAACAAGGGTAACAAGGGTAACAAAAGGGTAACAAGGGTAACAAGGGTAACAAGGGTAACAAGGGGTAACAAGGGTAACAAAGGTAACAAGGGTAACAAGGGTAACAAGGGTAACAAAGGGTAACAAGGGGGTAACAGGGTAAACAAGGGTAACAAGGGTAACAAAGGGTAACAAAGGGTAACAAGGGTAACAAGGGGTAACAAAGGGTAACAAAGGGTAACAAGGGGTAACAAAAGGGTAACAAGGGTAACAAGGGGTAACAAAGGGTAACAAAGGGTAACAAGGGTAACAAGGGTAACAAGGGTAACAAAGGGTAACAAGGGGTAACAAAGGTACCAAAGGGTAACCAAGGGTAACAAGGGGTAACAAGGGTAAAGGGGAAACAAGGGGGATAAACAAGGGTAATAAAGGGTAACAAACCGATAACAACTTTACAACGAAGGCTTACCAAGGCCAAGGACAAAAGGGCTAACAAGGGTAACAAAGGGTAACAAGGGGTAACAAGGGTAACAAAGGGTAACAAGGGGTAACAAGGGGTAACAAGAGTAACAAGAGTAACAAGGGTAACAAAGGGTAACAAGGGTAACAAACGGAACAAAGGGGAAACAAGGGTAACAAGGGGTAAAAAGTGGTAACAAGGCAAAGGTAACAAGGGTAACAAGGGAGGACAAGACGTAACAACGGTAACAAGGGGTAACGAGGGGTAACAAGGGCAACAAAGGGTAACAAGGGGTGAGAAGGGTAACAAAGGGTAACAAGGGTAACAAAGGGTAACAACAAGGGTAAGGGTAAAAGGGTAACAAGGGTAACAAGGGTAACAAGGGTAACAAGGGGTAACAAGGGTAACAAGGGTAACAAGGGTAACAAGGGTAACAAGGGTAACAAGGGTAACAAGGGTAACAAAGGGTAACAAGGGTAACAAGGGTAACAAGGGTAACAAGGGTAACAAGGGGTAACAAGGGGTAACAAGGGTAACAAGGGGTAACAAGGGTAACAAAGGGTAACAAGGGTAACAAGGGTAAGAAAGGGTAACAAGGGTAACAAGGGTAACAAGGGTAACAAGGGTAACAAGGGGTAACAAGGGGTAACAAGGGTAACAAGGGGTAACAAGGGTAACAACAGGTAACAAGGGGTAACAAGGGTAACAAAGGGTAACAAGGGTAACAAAGGGTAACAAGGGTAACAACAGGTAACAAGGGGTAACAAGGGTAACAAAGGGTAACAAGGGTAACAAGGGTAAGAAAGGGTAACAAGGGGTAACAAGGGGTCACAAGGGTAACAAGGGGTAACAAGGGGTAACAAGGGGTAACAAGGGTAACAACAATTACAACTAACAATAAACAAGGGGCAACAGGCAAAAAGGATAACAAAGGGGGGTAACAACAAGGGTAACAAGGGTAACAAAGGGTAACAAAGGTAACAAGACAAACCAAGGGACAGACAGGGGGCAACATAAGAAGATCAACAAGGGCAACAAAGACTGCAGGAAGGGGAGCAGTATAAAAAGATCAAAAACCGGCTTAACATTGGTTAAAGGGCAACCTAAGCACGCGACTGACCGAACACAAACTCGCGACGAGGAATGGTGTGGTCAACAATCACATTGTTGAGCACCATTTAAAGAGGAAACATCAAATTGAATGGGACTCTGCGACATGTATAACGTATTCTACAGACTACTATCAACGTCTTACTTTAGAAAGCTGGTTTACTAACTTAGATTAAACGCCACTGAGTCGTAGCCAACAGTTACCAGCGCCGTACAAACGACTTATTGACGAGATTAAGCAAAACTAACTACGAGAGAACGACTGGAGAACTGACAATTTGACTAACAATAGACGACTGTTTAACTGTGGCAATAGACGGATCGAAACGCACCAATTACTGATTACGAGTCTCCATAGCCAATAACATCACGGCGTAACTGACAGACGGATAATAACATCGCGACGTAATTGACCAATTAAATCAATAACCAGAGTATAATACCATCAACTGAAGTGACACAACTCACTTTGACTCTGAAGATGACTACCGCACGTCGAAACGTCAGTCACTGTCAACAACAACAGTCCTATTCAGGACTACCGTCACCGGACGATCAAACTCAACCTACTTTTGAAATGACTCCTGGGTTCAAACCTTCCATTGTAAGTAAGTGTCACGCAGTGACGCAAAAAAAGCAACAGACGTCACGTAATAGAAATACAATTGGCTATTATCTGACAAGAGTCTCCTGTAGCTGAATAGCTTCGACTGCTATTAGACGTACTCGAAGTTTTTCTTCCGAGCCGCCTGTGTCACTGACTAAAAAAAGATCTTTCTCATTTTTCCATAACAGACCTTATTCAAGAAACCCGCCATCTTCGCACTCGCTTTAGGATTAATGGGATAACCGCAATGTCACGCGGTAATTCAAGGGGGCAAAAAAGTGATAATACGAGTAATCGCGGTCGTGTTTGTATATTCTATCAAAACGAGACGATGATTTAATAGTCATGCAAAACAGTGTACAGCTCGAGTTTCGACAAGATTTACGTCATTACCTGACTGTTTGTTGTGAGGACATCTTCAATCGCTTCTTTATCCAGAGAAGTATTCAACAATGATCCTTTCCACCCATAATTTGCCATTATCGTCTTAAAGATCAAAAGTTTTCATTTTCTATTGTCTAGAATAAACAAACTCGACCGCGATTTCTTGCAATGGCAAATTTTTCCTGACTTGTTTTCCTCCAGAAAAACCACGGGACATTGCTGTTATCCCATCAGTCCTTACACACGTGCAAAGTTAGCAGGTATCCTGAACAAGGTCTATTTACGGTGGGAGTAAAAGTGCACGGAAAATGGGACAAGAACCTGAAAGAAGAAGAAACTTACCAGCTGCCTGCGAGGGGTCCACGAGAGCAACATTTGAGAAAACAGTAAGTTTGGCCAGCAGATGAAGAGAAGGCTCAGAAGTTGCTACATTTGTGACACCCTAAAAAAATATCCAAACGATGAAAGTCAGAAAAATTAACATATCTACAGAACATTTTGGAAAACGGACATGCATTTTAACTATGGCAGCAGTTACTTCTTTACAAAAGCGGTTCGTTAAATAACGCCATTAAAATGAAGTACGATGACAGCTTGTCAGAGGATTTCTCCAAAACAAAGGCTAAAAACTACCATAATTATGTCGTTTCAAGGTTGGGTCACATATCTGCGTGAAACGGACCTCAAACATGTTGAGTAAAGCCACGATGTCTGATATTCTGGCCTAATAATACACTCAGCTCTCTATAAGACGAGCACCGATGAGTATTACGCTATTAGTATAGCAGCCGCCCTAAGCAAGTGTTCGCCTTGTGGAGACTCATGAAATAACAAGCCGGGATGGCATCATCACAGGGTTTGTATCCTTTTGAGCTCTTCAAATTCCATGCCTTTTTCCATGCCCTTTTTAAGTTTTCCAAGACCTTAGGTTCCGCTGTCAGTTTCAAAAATTTTAAAAACTTTCCTTGTTTTAGGGTACTTTTTGACTTTAAACAATTCAACAGACACAAACTCTGGTGCCAACCAAAATGTCTGCAGTTTGCGCTGTTTAATTACTCCTCTCTATCATTGTCCTTGCCTTGTCATCTACAGTAACAAATTTATCAAACAAAACTCTCATTTTCCATGACTTTTAAGGACCGACAGTTAAATTCCGTGACTTTCCAGGCCTCGAAAGAGAAATTCTTAAATAGACATTTTTACCGATACGGCGGCCATATTGAATTAATTGGATTTAATGAGTATTATGGGATGCCCAGGGGGCATGAGCACGATCTCGTATACTCGCATCAGTATTTGCGCGCGCTGTTCGGGCTAATTTTTCTTAAAGTTTTCCTAGAAAAAGATTGTAATGAGAAAAAAAGATTGTTGTGCCCTGTTTGGATGTAATAACAATCGCCTTTTCCAGAGAAATATACACTGAAGTTCTCTTTTTGCCCGAAAAGCGCGCGTAAATACTGAGCGAGTGCGCCCTGGGCACCCAAAATACTCCTTAAATCTAATAAATTCAATATGGCCGTCGTATCGGTAAAAAGGTCTATTCCATGACTTTTCAGGTTTTGCAGGATCTGTACGAACCCTGCATTACTGTCTTAGTTACCTTCAAAAGAAGCGCCTGTAGCCCAGGAAAGTCATTCCACTTGAGCTTGTGAAGGACTTTGTCAAGTTTCTCGCGAGAATCATGGTGGCTCAAATCCAATACTGACAACACCTAGAAACAAGAAACAGAAAATGCTGTCATACACAAATTGAAGACCTTGTGATCTCAGAACAAATTTGAACTTGATATGCTCTAACTAGTAACGTATCGGGAGTTCTTGACAAGGATAAAGTGATTATCTAAAAAAATAGTTCAGTTTCGCAGGACTCATTTGCGCAAGGTTAGCCTCGACCTAAGGTAAATATATTCACAAATTCCAGTCAGAAGAAGACCTGTGCACAACTGTGTCTACTGTTTTAAACTCAAATTCAGGCACCTCTTCGGCATTGGTGAATATTTTACTTTACGTCAAGGCCAACTCTGTACAATGAGTCTTTGACGCTTTTAATCAGCGGCCACTACGAATTCCAAACTGGACTATTAGAATATTCAAAACAGACGAACTATTTAATAATTAATAAAATTTAGCTAGAAGTGAAGCACATTTTCCGCGGTGAATAACGCATTTGTATCAGCGTCGCCTTAATCATTGTGGTATTCATAGTTCGCCGATGTCGTCATGTCATCCTAACCCTGGTCGTGAGCGTGGTGTCGTGGACATGACGCCAGTTGAAATTTGTTATCTCATTTATATTACTGCGAATGTCATCTATTGACATTCCAGTCATAGCAGTATGCAGAATGTTTGTTACATGAGCTTAGTTTAGTGACATTAGCTCCTACCAGGCTTCTGTAGCTCAGTGATAGAGCATCTCATTATTCTCAATATAAGCACAGTATACAAAGCCCAGTTTCTCAGCAGCAATTCTACAAGTCTAATACAACCCTTATTGTTCTTAAATCTAAGTCTGTTTTCCACACCAGGCGAGACAGAGGTCCTGCAGTCTGTTGCTGATTTTGTAATCTTGTGCAAACCAACCTTGTTAAGAAGGTGAATAGCCATAAGAAATTCATGTTCGTAGTCTGACTCGAGTAACGATACAGCGATCCAAAAAACACGAGTCACCATGTCAGCTTGGCTTTGAGGATTAAGGGCTTCTGACGGAGTTTTCAGGCACTGAACACTTACGCTGTAGAAAGAATCAAGAAATGCAGCCAATTAGATCTAATGTAAAAACAATCCAACATTTCAGTTAAAATAACACTAAAATGAAACATACTGCTGAAAAGGTTTCATTTGCATGAATGAATAAGAATTGAACGACAGACTCAAATGTTAGCGTCGAAACAAGTGGTACGATGCGAAAGAACTTTTAAGGAGATTCACTTGAAAGGTCTCAAGGCAGGATTTTATACAGACTCACACATGGCCGCGGAAAGAAAATACCATCCAAAAAGAAAGTACTGTTGAAGAGATTTCATTTGCTTGGTCACACAATGCTGGACATAGTTTTAAATACGAAGGAGTTACCTTCTTTCTCTAAGTTGTGGATCTTCCCTGCTGCCATTCAATCGTCCGAAGTGATTGAACAGGAATGAGTGCCTCTTCAACTCACACCCACTGCTCAATGACCGAAAATGGCCTCCCTGTCTGAACTTGGCCAGCGAACCAACTGAACCGTCCACGTGTACGTTATAATCATCCACCAAATCTTCCTTCTCATCCTCCAAGTAATAGCCAAGACCCAGCTCCAGGCCATTTGACAACTCGCTCGCAAGTGATTGGTCCGTGAGTGTCCAATCAGAAGCTGCTTCCAAGGTTAGCAGGATTTCCATGACGTAGCCCTGTGCAATAAAAGCAAGTTGGATCAATTTAGGTTTCTGGGAAACTATCCACCTACCCCTCCCCTAAGCTAACATTAACTCTTACTTCTCACTTACAGCAAAATGATGGCCTAGGGGAGGGGTCGGTGGGCAGTTTCCCATAAACCTAAACTGAGCCACCAAGTTAACATTCACAGAATAATCAATTATAGCCAGTGTATAGGGAAGACATGTACTATAATTTGTTTCTTTAAACGTTATTCTTGTTCTTAGCCTGTTCCGGGCTAAGAAATGTCCCAACCATAATTGGAAAAAACTATAAAGTTTGGATTGATGGAATTCATTTCTAGTATCTTCATCGTTATTAGCGTTAGCGTAACCATCATGGTCATCATTACAATTATCTGTACATTTTTATTTATTAATTTTTTTATTTATTTATAGTCATTATGGCACCATTAGCACTGAAAGGAGTCAAACGATTTCAGCTGCATGGCTGATGCACAGAAATGCCTATTATTTTACTCTAAATTACCTGTACATCTTCGCTTCCATCTCCAACGGACTCAACCAGCCTTGACAGCACATCAGAGAGCATGGACCAAGAAAGAGGTACCTTAAGGGCCCTGAACACCTGAAAGGACCTACCCGCGTAGTGCCTTGAGGAGCATGAGGTGGCCCACTGTAGCGCTACCTTGGCCATTTTTTCTTGAACTTGTGTTCCCGAATCAGACGCTTGGAATATCTTAACTACTGACGCTACAAACAACTCCAACTGTTCGGCGCTTTTAATCTTGTATGAACGGGGTGTGATCTCTTCGAAAGCCCACAGAGGTTTGCAGTCACTAAATGAAAAAGCAAGATGGATAGTTAACTTCACCAAGTGGTTGGTTACTAACTCTTGCTGAGCTCGAAATCTCTTATGTTTACTGCCACTTGAAAAGTTAAAACTCGATCCACGCTGACATCATCAAAGAAAAATGTTATCCTTTAGCGAACCTAACTTAGTTTCTTCTCCACAACGAGTTGGAAATAAGAAATGACTGACCAGCATTTTTATCTTTCCTTCACTACAACAGGCATAACACAACGGTATAGGCTCAATGTACTGCAAGTTGAGTGAGTCTGGTTTGCACCCTACTCTCGACAACGGCACACAAAAAGCTGGTAATCGAGTCCAATATAGATAAGTAGTAAAAGAAAAAATTAACCTAATGAGGGTGATGCGCTCTTTCTTTGACTGTCGATAACTTTTCACATGTTATTTTTCATTACAAATTAACCTATGTATTCACCTATTTGCAAGGAAGTCAATAAGTTCCTGGATCTGTTCCACAAGTCTGTTGGCGTTGTTTTCGTTTGGAGGTAAGGTCTGATCAAGAGAACTGCCGCCAGCAGCAGACCTAAAGACAAACATGAAATAACGAGTAAGTCAGGGGATACTAAAATAGCGAAATCCAAGAACCTGTTTATCTACACCTTTAATAATATTTTACGACTTGTGAGTGATCAGTATCAAATTTCTCCTCGTACTGTCAATGCTTTGTAACACAGAGTGGTCACGAGAATTAAGGACATGATCACACAAGATGAACTTGATAAAAATTTAAATAACTTCTCCCAACAAGTTTCATAGGAAATGGGTAGGGGTAGAAAATGAGAATTTAAATTTTGATACTCGAGTTTTGTTGAACTGCTACTTACTCTGATACGCCAGTGCCTGCACTGACAGCATCACGATCCACATTACTCCCCCCACCAACCCCAGCGCCTGCACCGGGACCAGCCACACCAACGATATTGCCAACATCAAGTGTCCAAGATGATTTCAACAAGCTATATTTACCCAAACCCTGCTCTGAAATGGTAATGAAGTTGGAGAGGGACTGGGCTAAGGCCACGTGATCGCCACGGCAAACCAGCACAACGATGAGGTTGACTAGCAATCTCTTGCTGTGTTCATAAACCAATGCTTTTCCGTGATCCAGAGCTGAGGGAATATATACATCGTATTAGTACACACTTCGTCAGTCTACTATGGAAGCAAACAAGTCAACAATTCGTCGGTCTATGCATTGATAAACGAGGTGGTTTACGCTTTTTTTGTCCATAGTCTTTTGGAAAATACGACCAAGCTAGCCATACAATGCAATTTTCAGTCGAGAATCGCAAGTTGTTTCGTCATTGACTTGGTTTTGCATTGTTGCGCTTTCTGGCGATTGGATGAAAATTTGAATCGTACCAATTTCTCAACCAATCAAAAACGATTGTTAATTCCTCAGATTACGCGCTTGGCACAAAAGTTTCAATGTTTTCAAATCGGGTTAGTTTATCTGATTTCTGCGCGCATTCTGACTTTCATCCAAGAGAACACTTAACTCACCCAGGAAAATGACATGAAGCATAAGAGGAAGATGTTGTGCCCAGTCAACTGAAGCCTGATCAAGAACTAACTCCGCCAGCAGCATGAGGGCAAAGTTACATCTGAAAATACATCGCTCGATTAGACACAAACAACACCATAATTTCAACCGGAAAAGCACCAAAAGGACTCCATCGATGAATTACTAGAATAACGATCATGCACCTTTGAGAGGTGTAAACAAATTCTATAAGTTTTATAAGTGAGAAGTAAGTGTTAATGCTGGCTTAAGGGAGGGGTAGGTGGGCAGTTAACTAGAGAGCTCAATTGATCCAATTTTTTTTTACCTGTACAAAGAAGCCACGTGCGGTGCAAACGGGAGAATATCAGGAAGTGGCGCGAAATAGTTCTCTCCTTCGGGAACTGGTAACGAGAGTGTCATGCCGGCTCCCACAAGTCTGTGCGCCATGACGATCCATTCTTGTACCCAGGATTCTTCGGTCTTCTCTTCGATTTGATCAACTTCTTCTGGCTGTGCAAGAGGCACGGCAGGCTCGGCCAACTTCACTGGCTCGAGAGTAGGAGCTGCCACAAAACGTTACAATGGAAGAATTAGACCATGTATAACCATGCTTCGTCAAGCAACTTTACACTGTGGTGTGTATAAACTTTAAAACTTTCGAGACAAACTAGAAGGGGTTGTTCCGATGTCGCCGAAATGTAAATAGGAAATCGATCAAGCTTTTCTCAGATAGTATGGGGAAACGGACATCTTTTCATTAAACATTATGACCTTGCGAATTTCTAACGAAGGGAATTACGAATGGAAGTCATATGTCACTCCACTCTTCACTCAAGCTTTCAAACACACTAACACGTTTTCTGCGCGACAAATTCCGAACTTATATCAGGTGAATAATATGTAAATCACGAGACGTTAACTACCCTAGGGGAAAAAGATTTTCATGGGGTATTTCCGTGGTCGGTCAGGACTTTCTAGTGACCCGGCTTCGCCGCTCGTGGGTTCGGCTGTTAGCCGAAAATGTATCGGCCGCAAGCCAACACCGAAGCATCCCGCCGCAAGCGAGAAAACACGTCTGGTGTCCATAATAGACGTCATCCCACTACCTTCTATTCCTCTTGGAAGAGAATCTCCTTTCTCCCTCCTGTCGTCCTTGGCATCGCGTCTCTCCTCCCTCGACTCCTTCCGTTCATCTTTCGAATCTTTTCTTGAACCTTCTTCAATCTTCACGTCTTCTTTGGAAACGCTGTTCTGCTTAACCATGCCCATGCCCTTCTGGTTCAATACTCCCGTCCCCTCCACTGACGGTACTTCACTGACCGAGTCCCGACTAGTAGACGAAGTTTTCAGAGGTCGGAAATATGGTGGCTCGTCACAGCGCTCGAATTGAGAAGCTACTGTTTCTGTAAGCTGAAAAATGAAAACGCGATGAAGACTAAACGCACCAAATAAGCCGTTTTTCCTAGGCCAGGACGTCATCTTAAGATTTCCCTGACAACATTTGAACGGGTAACCATATACACTGACAGAAAAGAGGCACATCTCCGCTGGTGCCATCTATTAAGGTGATGTTACACGGGGCGATTCGCAGCAAAGAACAGCATTACAGTATTGTTGCGACATTGTTTCGAATGGTTGAACCATTGTTCCAACACCAACATTGCAACGCTGTGTTGCAAATTGTCCCGTGTAACATCAGCTTTAGTTATACAGGTAACACGGACGCGACTAATCTCAACGTGAAGAGGGGAAGGATTACCTAAAATCAGCAAGGGCTTTCATTTCTGGGCAAACGTATTCATGAGTTGGCATGCAATGTCCTCCACTGGCTTGTTCAATACCACTTAAGTACTAACCTGTGATTAAAGCATTTCAGTTACAGCTAAAAACAGTATAATACCTTGAGTTCTTCCATTAGCTCTTCAATGGTTTTTTGTTGGTTTGCACGACCTACATACACAGCAAGCTTTTTGGCCTTAAACAAGCAACAAAAACAACAAATTACTCAGTTGGAGATGTTACAGAGCTACAGTATTAAAATCATTATAGGTGAACGTTTGTTTGAAATCAACAAAATGCGGTCGTGTTTGAAACACTGTACAACGCAGCTGTAGTTGTTAACGAAAAAGTAAAAACCACTGAGCAGTAATTTCCTATGGTGCTGTTTACATTGATTAACTGGTTCTAATTCACATGAAGCTTATGAGCAATTTTTACCTGTAGTACGTTTAATTATGTCGCATAAGTGTGGTTCTACCATTTGACTCTGTGGATTAAACTCCTAAAGTATCTCCATTCACACAGCCTCTTCGGCAATTTGCTAGTGTAGTACTATTAATTATTTTGTACGAGTCAGTAAGAAGCTTAACTATTTTCATCACTATTACGAAAATGAGCACATGATTCTTGCTAGTGCAAGAGCAAACAAAACGGGCGTGACTTACATGGACAAGGACTTCCGAGCTGCCAATGACACCAGCGAGTGCTATTAGATATCCCAGGATCTCATGGATGTTGTTGACCCAACGACCACAAAGGCTGCCCCAGGCCTCTTCAATCTCTTTAGAAAACTGCACGTCATACTGAAAAGATAACGTCAGGTGAAGTAAGAAAACAAGGCCAAATACACTTAAACTGCTCAAACACTCCTACAAAACGTTACATACATCTTTAGAGACGGTGTTACTAATCATACCACTCGGAGGGTTAATGCAGAGGGTAACTCGGAGTCTTCACACTGTACCAATAGGCAGTACTACTTGTAAGATCATTGGTAATAGAGAGCTTTAGATTTGAGGACAAGAACGAGATTTTCTCAGTACTGAGTAGTGCGCGCGCTTGAACCAGCGTCATTTTGGCCGGAAATCGTGATAGCCGTCGTCATTCTACAGCGGGATTAAACGAGAATTTAGGCTGATTTAGCAACAGAACTGCCCTTTACCTTAACAGTGATGTAGAACAGGTTATTGAGGACCAATTGCGTGGCCTCAAGTGATCCCCACCCCTCCCCCTCTAATACCACAGGGGACATGGCATCCTTTTCTTCGTCTTCAGTTGTTTCTATATTTAACTCAGGGGGAGTGGGAGAGGCATTTGACAAATCCACCAGCTCAATGTTTGCTAGCCATGGGAGCATGTACTGCAAAATACACCGCTGACCCACCGGAGAAGTCATCTCAAATCGAGCGGTCATCTCTGTTGGTCAGAAAAGAGAGTAATTTCAAACTATAACATTGCATTTTCCTGTTTTTCTTTTTTTTGTCATACCTTGGCATGGCCCCTGGCAAACTCAAACTATGCTAAGTACACCTTCAATAAAAGAGACAAACTTCTCTCTCTGTAGTGGGTGCACGACTTTGGGAGAAAACTATACCATGATGTGGCTTTCAAAGCTTTTAATACACTAAAACCCCGCGACTAAGAAACTGGATTTAAAGAACCTATTAGGCTAAAATTTGCCGGTTCGAGTTATAGAGGATTCGAGTTACCGGGAGTCGACTGTATGCAAATTGTTATTGATTTGTTTAAATAATATCAGATAACCAACCTTCAAACATATGTATGGTGATTTCCGGGTGAGCTGTGGCCAGTGCTTGAGATAAGTTCCTCTGGCACTGAGAGTATGCACATCGTGATCCACAGGACAAACTTGGTGATGTGAAAGGGAAAAAACGCCTAGAAGAACAAAACATTCGAGAACAAAAGTGTCAAACTGAAAACGAATCTCAAATCGCTCCCAACAATTACCTTTCATCCATGAAATAGCTGCTCTTATCCCCTAAACCGATTCTCCTTGGAAAGGGATCGACATCTCGCGTTTTAATTCACGCCTAAGCTGGACTGTTCTCCTGGGCAGTTGGGCAAAATTTGCTTAAAAACTAACACTATGAAGTTACAAGAAGATAAGCCAGTCGCTAGCTAGTGAACATGTTACCGTACAAGTTGTTACAATGACCATTCATTCATTCTTTCATTCACTCAGACACTCAATCGTTCTCTCGATCACTTTATCTTTCTTTCATTCGATCGTTCATTCGATCATTCATTCATTCACCCACTCATTACCTCAACTTCACGATGCAAAAAAAAAAAACAGGTGAAGAGCCAATACCTCTCGAGAAGCTGTAGGAGCTGAGCCGCCTTTTCCCTGATGTCCAGCGTAGAATCTGCAGTCTTGAAGAGCACCACGTTTAGAATTGGAATCATATCACAAGGGTAGTCACTGAAAAAAAAGGATATGTTTATTATCAGTGAAACAAGCCCAACGCACGTTTGAACGGGATCCTATATCAAGACTTTCTCTAGCTGAAAAGGTTGTGTGGGGTGAGGAGGGGAGAAATTTGGCAATTTCAGGGAAAAACCAGGCTACCTCTTGGTGAAAACAGTAACCAGCGCCTTGAAGCAGCCACTGACCACCAGCCTCGCACCCGTGTAACACTTGTCTATAACCCACTGGAGTAGGGACGGGATGTTAGCGTTGTTTTCAAGCAAGTGGACTAGAGTATCATGTCCTAACTGATGAATCTGTTAAGACAAAAATCACAAACAGCAAAGTCAGTTTTAACGAAACCTATTTTGACATCAGAAAAAACGTTGCCGCCTATTTAATGACAAAACACACAAGACAACTTGCGGTAGTATATGTTCGAGATCCATATACCTCGAAAGTGGTATGAAAAAAACACTCGGTCGGTTTAGTTGCGCCACCTTCCTCGTGGCTGGACGATATATTACTGAACTTAAGCAACAGGACGGGAGAGGAAAGAAGACGGCAAGCTTTGTGTGACAAAGTTGACCTGTCCCGTTTGTCAGACACAAACGTTTCGCCGTCCTCGTCTTCTTGGCGTCCTGTTGCGTAAACTCACTCGGATGAAACGCTCCTCGCGTATGTTAAATTGCACCTCGAATAAAAAAAATCCTTTTCGTGTTTGGCCATCGGATCTTAATCATCAAGAAATTTTGCGACGTTTAGCTTTGAATTTCTTAAGAATAAGTGTTTATGTGTGAGGCTATATCAACACTCTATTCAATGTTTAGCCTGTGCTAGGCTCTCAGATAGTAGGGACGACGCGTACGTGAAACAATGCGAGCGCGTGATCCAGGAAAAACGGGCGGTGGCGGTTAAAAGGAATGGAGAGAGACATCCTCTACACTGTTTCCTCCCGTTTTACTCTCGTGTTCGAGCTTTCTCAATTTCGCGGACTGGACTATCTTGGAGCCTGAAACAGGCTACTCGATGTTTCAACCGATATTCAGACACTTCGAAGTCGGTCTTGAAAAACACTTAGCTTCGCCCCATTTCTCAACTCACTTCTCTAATATCTGGAAGCCAGATGAAACACTGCACGTCGTGATTAATACATTACTTATCGCACAATGTAAGAGACCAACCTTTTCTTTCGGTGAGTTGAGGACCGTCTGTAGCCACTTATAAAGGTATCCACCGGTGACTAGGCCATTTGGATCGAAAGAAGGACCACACTGCAACAAGCCACACATAGCCTGAAAATAAAGGAAGGACATACATTTTTTTTTTTTTTTTTAGAATGCCTTACAGAGTACCCTGGTTGATATCAACACCCAAAGTTAGATCTAATACTTACATGAAGAGAAGCCAGCTCCAAATCATTGCTCTGTGCACTTGGGACAAGCGGAGTTCTAAAAAAATAAAAGAGTTCAAGAAAACAATTTTGTTAATGCATATCGACTAAACGACCTGAAGAATGAGACTTACTGCCTTCACAAACTTATAAGCTAACGACTGTCCAAGCGGACAAAAACAATATTTACTAATCCATGTTCGATCTGAGCCTCTCTTGAGGTCTCTCACAAAAACACCCCATGACAGTCAGATTTATTGCATAAACATTTATTCATGTCAAAAGTAACGAATTTTAAATCTTGAGTCAAAAACACAGAAGTCTCTATCGCAAAACGTCCCCAGTGGCGAAGAGCGATTTGAGGCAGTGCTGTAATTGCAAGCTACAATTTGTACAAAGCATTAGAGACAGTTACTTTTCAAGTCTAGAAGCCTTCACTCCAAAGTGGGCACACCAACTGCTGAACAGGAAAAACAGGCTACAGCGCATGTCAGCAGGTAAAAGACTTCTTTGAAGAGAGGCTGCAGAAATAAAAATACATAAAAAAAGTAAATGTGACATTCTTATAAGGCAAACAAGTGGCCAGAAAAGAGCTACCAGACGAGCAGTGACTCTTTTTGCAAAAACTTTCCTGATTGCTCTCTGAGTGCAACAAAAACCTTTGTATTCGCTTCTCTCTGGCCCCGGTTGTTTTTGAACCCGGATAGCGCTATCCACCGGAAAAATTACTATCCAGCGGATAACGTTTCAACTGGATAGAAATTTATCTAGTGGATAGCGATAGCCACATTTTAAACAACTCGGGCCCGGGCCACAGTTCATGACTTGCTCAAGTCTTAACAGTGCATCTTTTTCGTACCCACGTGAGTACATCAGCCATGGATAACTCTCCCGACTCCGTGACTGTTGCCGTGTGTGACGTAACAGGTAACACTGCACTTTTGCATTCATGTCATTCCTTGTGGAAGACTACAAAAATATGAAAATACCCCGCGTTTAACAGCTCACGCAAGCTTGATTTTGAACAGCTCGAAAGGTTATGATTGCGGGCTTTTCTTGGCCGCCAGCAAATATAAGGTTTTGACTCACCAGGGACGGAGGTGATCATCTTGTAGATGAAGCGCGCGAAGTGAAGTCTAAGCTGCATCACAGCAGGCATGTCCTTGTCGCTTTCACTCTCAAGGTAACTCCTGTGTCAAAAACCGGAAACAGTAAGATTATTGTTATTGAAAAACGAAGATTATTTTTCTGCGCAAAAAAAACACAAAGCTTTCCACCTGATATCCAAACTAAAACTGGATTGGTAAATGAAACACTCTCACCAGTGTTTGGTAAAGCATCTGAAATAGCTTACAACTCCTCAAGATATCGCTCGTTGTGTAAGGGTCTTGTTGTCTGACCAAGGCTGAATCTCCTGGATCTCATGTTTGGACATCAGATGAAACACTCCTAATAGTGTTTTATATATCACTTCTCGGTGTTTGCATATCAGATAAAACACTCCTTCTCGTGTTTAAGTATAACGGTCCAGATATTATGTTTCGTGTATTAGAACTGTATCGCTTGGATCTCATGCCCTCTTTGTTGCAAAGTGTAAACAACAAAAGTTCTCACCTGGTTCCCTCGATGTACTCAATAAAGGTTGGGCTTAATCCATCCTCAGTCACAAGTTCACTGGCACTAACAAGAAACAAATAAAGGTTATTTTAATCATGATAATTCTTTTGCCGTCACTAAAGGGTTGGTGATCGCACATTCTTACCTGTCATTGAAACAGCCATGTTCAGCATTGAGCTCAAATATCCGCACCAAATGTGCTCTTAGCACATCTCGCTTTCTTCTTCTTCTCACACTCTGCAAGTAAAGGATAACGGGAGTACGTTTTCAGCTGACTGCCCTGATATGCAAATTCTTTTCTGCATTCGCTTGGAAAAGAAAATAGAGAGCTTTAGATGCTGAGACGGTGGAGGACGACTACGAGTAAGAGATTTTCTCAATACTGAGTATTGCTCACGCGTGAACTAGCCTCATTTCGGCGGGAAACGTGATAGCCATTACGAGTTTTAGCGAGAATGTCCTAGTGGCAGGAACAAGTTATTAAATGTAACAAGTTTTATCATTTTGCTATAGGGAGAGGGCTTAACCTCATTCAGTATAAATAACCGTACTGTTTTTTACGTGAAAAAAAAGTAAAATGAAGATTTCCGGGGTGTCTTTTTTTTTTTTTTGAGAACACGCGCGACAACTTCAAGTTAAATCTCGTTCTCGTCCCCAAATGTAAAGCTCTCTAATTTAACGACATTTTCCGGCCACAATATTGCCTTACCTCTGCTCGTCTGTCAAGAACCTCGCGGAGGACAGGGAATTGAAGTTCGTCAAGAAATTCTCTGCAAGTAATTAAAGATCTCGTTATTGACCTCGCCGTTTTATTCTCTGTTTTCGAATTCCCCATAATACACTCTGTTTGCCCCCCCAATTTTGCATAAACCATTGTTTTTAAATGCTCCTGGGAGTATTGCATTTTCCCAAGAGCATTTTAAGACAATAAGTTATGCAAAATTTGGGGGGCAAACAGAGTGTATTATGGGGAATTCGAAAATAGTCAATACAGCCAAATTTAAAGCAATTCCTTGTAAAATACTTCGATAAATATTCCTTCGACCTGATATAAAAGGTCTTAAGTTATGAAGATGAGCTATATTAAAATAAAGTCGTTATAGCAATGTTATTACCTGTAAGAACTGGGGCTAGTTCGTCCAAGCCCAACAATAACTGCCTCTCTGATGTCATAGCAATCGCTCTTGAGCAATGGTACGGCAAAACGGAACAAACTGTCCACCATGCTCGGAGAGGGTGGCTAGAAAAAAGATGAGTGCAAGTTGTAAGGTAACAAGTTGAAATGTTTTCTTCGCAAGTTGCTCCAAATTTAGTTGACTCTCGCAAACATAATGCTTATTCAAATAAGAGTAACAATATTTCTATCATGTCTGTTTCCTCCGCGCAAGTTGCCGACTTGGCCGGAATTTGCTTTTTTAAAAAAGAAAAAATTAATACTTTGCAGCTCGAACACATGCAGTTTTTTGTAAGAATCTTCTTCATGAATCACACATTCTGTGGAAGATACAACGAACAAGCTATCAACTCCACCTTAAACTCAGGTGACAACACTTACTCTGGAGTCTCCCTTGGTTTCAGAACCTTCAGACGATGTTCTAAAAATTAAAGTACAGTAAAAGAGACGTTAGCAACATGACATTTGCAGCGATATCAAACTCCATGTCCATATAGCCCGCCAAGTATTACCTGCAGTATGTCGGGCAATCCACAAAGGATTTTTTTGTCCCACTTTTAATAAATATTTCACCAATAAACGTTGAAACATCTAGATGCAACAAATTGTCTCCTTTTGATTTTTTGTTCGTGGTTTACCTGACAAGTTTTTCTTAGGGTAAGGGTGCAATTCGAGACCAGAGACAAAAACAACAACAACAACAATTTTATTCCACATAGTTCAATACAACAGTTATTAAATCGGAAAAATACTTTCCCACCGCTAATAGCATGAAAGGCTAATCGAGGTTGAGGAAAGATGAAGACAAACTTAAGGTAAAAAGGGATGCTAGGCCATCGTAGGGACACGCCCAGCAGTATGTTAATCCTGCCCAAATAGGTACTTTCCGAGGCCAGCGACAGCTTATCCTACCGACAAGAACTTCACTATGTGGTAATAAAAATAACGGTGAACTACTCACCCCCCATCCTGCTCTGAGGAATCGCTCCTCAATGGCGGAGACCGAGGATAAGCACAACAGGCAAAGATGAGATAATTTCTCCACAGACAAACATGGTTCAAGTTCATGGTTTTTTTCGTTGAACCTCTGCTGTAAACTGACGAAAGGCTGGTAATAGAATCTATTCCAGAAGCACTGCAAATAAGAAGAAGTTGTTTAGCACCACTGCAAAAGGAAAGTGGCTAGTTCACGGCATTTTCGATGATTTTGCTTATTTTGGTCAATAACGAGCTTTAAACTACAAATTGGGTGGGAAAAAGGTTTTTTTAATTTAAAAATCACGGCCACGTATCACCTAAACAAGACGTGATTTCCCAGCGCTTTACATCACATTTTCATTCAAACTTAACGAAAGTCGTGCCGCTATTTTTCAAGTCTACCTGAATGCAATGTGTTTTAATCTTTGCCAGTTTCGCCCAACGGTGCCACCTTTTAGCTTTTCTGTTTTGCGCTTCATTTCAGTACGTATTTGACATTTCAGTGAATTTTATCATCTTTCAGTAAGTTCTGAAATTACCTACATGTACAGTTGCACGATCTATCCCCTTTAGTACTGCTGAATCTCTCCACAAAGGCCACCTTGGGGACAGAAGAAAGTGGCCATTGTGGAGAGGTGGCCGTTAGTGGAGATTAACAACTGCATCGCTAAAATGGAGGTTGGATGCCTGGAGTATCCAAGGGCTTCCACTATCGCCAGCCAGCCCCTAGAGAACCTCATCGGCTGAAAAAACCCAGCACGAAGGAAACCTGAACGCGCCCAATGAATCACATGACCAATGTAGCGAGCTACTGGGCGTGCGCATACCAAAAGAACGCTGACCTCTGACACTTAAGGCGCTTTTAGCTGTTAATTCCTTTAAATTCAATTTAAATGCATTTAAACTGTATGACAAAACGTAAAAACAGAAGTAGCGTGCGCATACCCTGGATCAATAAACGAATACACAGTAATTAGACGATTGAAGACGTTAGGCCAACTATATTGTAAAGCAGACGGGCATAGTTCTGGGAGGTACCACTTGTTTAGTAGACCTGCCATGAGCGCTGACCAGAAAGAACTGTGTAAACCCACGTTCAACTGTTCCCCAGTCTCCTTGTCCATGTTCCCCGTCAGACGTTCATTCACGGTTAAGATGTCGACATTACCTACAGGTCCTGTGAAAAGCTGACAAAGGATTGATCGATTACTTAACGTGCAGGAACTTTATCGTTTTACACCAGAGGGCTTAGTGGCAAAACTAAACAAAAACTAAAGCGCAGAAAAGAAATCACTGCATGTGAGATGATTTACCTCAAAGGCAAAACATTGGATTTCATCCAAAAACTACCTTGTAAAGTATAATAAACAGCATCGCAAGGCGAAACGTTCTGTCCATTGCATTACTTTTGAATGGTCACAAGTAGTACCATGATAAAAGGTACTCAGAAGAGGTTTCATTTGAATCCAAAGGATTTGGTCCACAGACTCAAAAGTTAGAACTATTTCATTACCCAGACCAGAGTGAGTATCATACCTTCTCACTTTGTGGTATGGAATGAAGAACTTTCTCAAGAACGGTTGGAAACACCTGATCTATGACATCAAGCACAGGTTTCTCAGCTTTTTCCTACAAAAGAAAAAAACAGTACGACCATGAATGATTTTCTCGGGTTCCACCAAAGTTAACTAAGTTAACTTTATGTACAGATATCATCGTAGGTCGGACACCAATTTAACCCTTTAAGCCCTAGGAGTGATCAGGATCAAAGTTCTCCTTGTGATATCAATGTTTTATAACACAGATTGGTGATGAGAACAAAGAAGATGATCACACAAGATACAATGAGTTGATACTTCAACACCTTCTTGCTACTACTTTTACAGGAAACGTATAGGGATTTTTAGCGCAACACAGCGTTGTAATGTTGGAATAACGTTGCAACCATTCGACAAAATATCGCAACAATGTTGCAACGCTGTGTTGCGCTAAAAATCGTCCCTGCGAATCGTCTCGTGTAATATCACCTTTAGCCGCTGGATAGTGATTTATCTGGTGGATGGCGCTTTCCAACGTATGAACGACAGGGGCCAGAGTGATAACATCATGAAGTACAACGCAAAATAGTTAAATATCACGCAACATTCTCTTTTACCTTCTCACTCAGATCCATTAAACTGCACAAAGTTCGAACTTCCTTCAAGACAAGAAAGGCCAGCTTTCTTATCATGGGATGTATACTGCAATGAAACGCAAATAAGATAAGCTATTATCATGATAGATTATCATGTGAAGGTGTGCGCGCTAAATACGAAGCAAATCCTTAGCTAGGCCATCAGACCTTCCAAGCAGCAGAAGGGATCTTTCTTGCAATGTGAGTTTGTTGTTCCCTGACTTTAGCCCGCACGAAAGCTCTTTAGTTTGAGTAGCGAGCGTAGCGAGCCGTGCGGGAACGCCTCTTGCTGTCGCGTCTTTTTTCGCGTGCCGCTCGCAAGTGAATTCTCACGATCTACCCCAAATGGAGAGCTTGCTCGCAGGCTACCATGCTTTCGGCAAGGGAACCAGAAAAAAACGGGAAATGGAAAGGTGGAAGGCCAGAAAACAAAGAAGCCTTAGCGAAATTATAATGTTGACTTAAGATAAACCCCTACGCCATTTCAGTAATACGCCTAAAAATTGGCGTGTGGTTATGCTTAAATGTACCTGCAAAGCATTACAAGCGAGAAGCCTTCCACGCTGTGTAAGACTGTTATTCTGTCAACTTCTTTTTCATTTGGCAGGCTATGAGCGGAGAGCTCCAACTGTATATCTTGTCCAGACTGAAACATAACGAAAGCAATTGTCATAAAGGATCAAAGACTATACCTGTGAGATAGAAAAAAGGTTGTGTGCGACCTAGCATCTTTTTGCCCCAAAAGCACGCGCCATCATTGGCGACTTCGAGGTCACCTGACCTTTAACAATAAACCTGTTTCCCGCCAAAAGTCTCTGGGTGCGCAACTGACGTTACTTCATTGTTACCCGCGAATGCTGACCGACGGCCGCCGTGATCATCTTAGATCTACAACGCACTGATATCTTTGTTGCCTTAACAAGGGCGACTGGGGACTGCTACAAGCATAACCCTCGGCTACCTTTGTAGGAAACAAAAATAAAATTCGTAGCTGTTACCCACCTTAAAATCTCCGTGACCAGCGGAGAGAGCAGTCTTCCAATGACCTAACAGCTGAAGCAACATGCGCATTGCACCGTCCAGCAGCGACGGCAAGTTGTCTTGAATCTCACGCTGAATAGCATTGACAAAACCTACAAGAAGTAACGAGTCTTTAGTTAACATTTGTTTTTGACATTTCACTTAATTAGAAAGAAGTTTTTATCCGATATCTAGGCAACCGTAGGGAAGGGGCCGGGTAGGTGGGCAGTTTCCCAGAACTGTATAATGACCCCAAGTTCAAACGATATATCAGAGCGGGCTCTTGGTGGGTTTAGACCACAGAGTATCTGGATATGGGATGAATCAAAAGGAAACGCAGTTAGCGATTAGAATTCAATAGTCAAACGCCCTTCAAAGATTTCTCGTCATGAATTCGGTGTTAACGAGTAAGAAACAAAGATTCAGTCTTCTTGACAAAGAATAACAGATGTACTTCGCAATGAAAACAAAGGGAAAAACAGATATAATCCTCAGACAACATGCAACTGGCATTTAATGACGAATAACAAAATTAACACGCTGTGCATAAACGTACCTAGAATGGCGGTCTCCCTCCAGTCCGGAAAGTTAAGTACAAGAGATTGAAGAGCTGACAGGGCCAACCTACAAACAGCGCACAAAGCAAAGGCTTTAAGGGGCTGCCGGATTACACAACCCGGGCTAGCCCTGTTTGCCGGGCTGGCCTGGTTTGCCGAGGTCACTTTTATCCCGGCATTACATTAGACAATCAATCCTGAAGCAGCCACGTTTACAGAGAGACTGGAAGCAATGCGCATGAGCAGTGTCTTCCCCGCTGTCCTGTTGCCGGCGAGCGTTATTACATGGCAAACTTTTTTCAACCCGGTTCGCCGTGACCCGGCTAAAAAGAGGTTAAATTTTCCGCATAAAAAACGTTTGCGCTGACAAATTTTCGAAGCACACTTTTAAGTTCTTTGGAACATTCCTCGATTAGTAGCTCAAAGAAACAATCGTGTTACGAAAAACTAAAGTGAAACTTAAATTACAATGAAACTCTTACACTCGCAGTTCTTCATCTCTGTGAACAGTTAGACGGGAAAGAACATCCACAATTTCCACTTTCGTCATGCCTTCCGGAATACACCTTCAAAGAAAAGAGCTGTGAATAAGATTGACACGTGGAAGCTTTTCGATTTGTTCTCGGAATGCTTTCATTCGACAATTGATATTTTCAGTTCAAAGTTTCCAGCATAAAAACGTTTCAAAAGAAAACCCAAATACAAAGACATTCTAAAGCCAACATTCCACGAAAAGTGAATGTTTCCAATTTCATTTTTCTTTTTACACTTTCAACTATTATAATTAAGAATTAACACCTTGGAATTGCAGCAATGCATGTCCTAAAAAGTTCTATTTTAGGATCAACCTTTGGTTTTCTCTCACCCCTGCAAAAAAACAGAATAGCAGACATTCAGTTAGACTGAATTCTGGTAAAAAAATTTGATGAAAAAAGAGAAGAAAATAAGCCTCAGATGTAGGGTGAACAATTTCACTGACTCTTTCAGCCCAAAAACTAAAAATGCAAACGTAATGGTTAAAATCGATTCAATCGTGTCGACGTCAACTACTAAGAAGAACTTTCACGTGATGTTACTGAAAACTCTCCAAAAAAACATTCGCATTGAAAACATTTGAAAGTCTGCTTTTTACAGGATTTTACAAAATGAAAATGCTTGATTTTTAACACCTTGGCGTTAAGGCACTTTAAAGTTGATACTAACGCAGAAAATTCTTCCTGCTCCTTTTGCGAGCAATGTGAGTTCGTCATCATCATGGGCTTTCCAACTTGGACATCTAAGGCTCTTATGATGCTGTCCAATGCCCTCATGATGCTGTGAATTGAAAGACGTACTCACGTTTAACATCCTTTGCATTAGTTAGCCACGACCAAGTATTAGAGACCTTTAGATTCGAGGACTGACCAGAACGACAACATGGACGAGATTGACGTAAGTTTTTTTTCACGTATACTCAAAAAAGACGAACTTTCAGTTGGTAAATAAACGATTCCGGATCAGTTTACACGAAGTTTTACAGTAGTGATTGATCAAGTAATGATCCGTGTAAGGTGGATAGCAATTTCTTTTGTTATGCGGCAACGGTGCTTTCCCCAAATAGGATTGTTCTCATTTTTACACAGAGAATGCATAAACCTACATGAAGGCCGTTTACGCAATAAAATGTATTTACACTCCACTTTGAAAGAGTGTTTTTTTTGTGTTAAAAGATTTTGACCAATCACAAGAGTTGAAAACAATAGCTACGAAAAGTTTACAATTTTACATGTTCCCCACATAGGATTTCTTTGTTATTCAAACTGAGACCAGATTTTGTTATATGGAAGACGGTTGGAAAGTAAGGATGAATATATGTGACCCTCCACAGGAATTTGATGCTAAAGGTGAAAGCACGCGCACGACACGCTTGCACGACACGCCTAGCGTGCCGTAGATCACGGATATGCGCATATTAAATTGAAAAAACAAAGACGGACACACTTGCCTTTGTTTTCGCAAATTTAACACGCTAGACCTTTTGTTTTTTTGTAGCGTGCCATATGTCACGGTAAGTGTGCGAATTATAGCACGGTTAGCGTGCAATTTGGGTAAGACACGCTGAACACGCTTGATTACTAAAACCGCTAAGATAATAAAAATGGCTTGGGCTTTCAGCGGATTTAATCAGCATTGATAACTGGTCGAAGTGAATCAAATATACCAATTGAGACTGTTTTGGAACTTGATAGTAACCGTGGCCATTTGAAAATCACGACTTAATGGTGGTCTAGCCTGGAATTAACGCGAGATCAGTGTAAACCAATTCCTCCGGCTGTCGGCTGTTGACCGGAATCGCAAAGAGGCCTGCTATCGCATGCGAGGCACTGAAGTTATGTCGCCTGAAAATTATAGTTATGCCAGAAATGAAGTTGAATAAATAAGTTTAATATATTTCTTTAAGCCATGCTGAGACGAACGAAGGTAATTAAATCGGAGAAACAAAAACTGCCTAGAATTTTCTATAGGTTGAGGAAGGCTAAACATTTCTAGATGACCGTTCCATGCATGTACAATTTTCGAAGGTTATCTAATAAATTCCTTACGATTTTCTGAAGTTTAATTTTTTCCATTTCATTCCCCAGTTAAGCTATTTTTCATAGAGAATTAAGGAATCCTAAAATTTTCGGAACCGAAAATACGATAAAATTCTCACTTTCCTAAAACTTTCAATTGGAAGCTAAATTTTTCGGGAAGCTGAAGCCCTTGTAATTTCGAAAAGACTGAAGTTGTCCTAGGATGCTAGGATGCATTTAGGAGGAAATCGCCGTCAGGTGCCCCTGACGAACGAAGCGCTATCAATCATAATTTATGTAAAGATATCTCGTTACGCTATGCTAAGACGAATCAAGCGCTGTAAACGTGTTCTATATCTCGTTCTTCACAGGACAAAAAAAAAAAATCTGTGAACTAAAAACACTGTAGAATGAGGGAGGATTGCGGGCGACTTTTCTTTGAATTTTGGGCGACAAAACTCATATTATCAGGTTTTGGACGACATAACTTCAAACGACATCACTTTCGAGTAGCTTGACCGCCACCCCTTTAGATCGAGCTCGATGAATTAATTCAATGACCGAACTTTATGGAACAAATGATTGCCTTCAAGAATTTCACGCGGACTACTTTTAATTTAGTTCTTTTTCTCTTTTCTCAGTGTGTGACTGACAGAGATTTAATTCTCGGATCGAACTTTAGTACTCTAAACACGCCGTATTATCGTGGCAAAAACAAAGAATCAAACAAAAAAGCACCATACAATTTCGGAATTCTGTTAAAAAATACATTTTTTGCTTACTATTCAAAAAGCGGTGAAACAGTCATTAATTAACTGATGTTTCGCTTTTTGTGTTATTGTCGGCCGGATCAATTAATTATAGCAACGTTGGAAACGTTTTGGAATTTTGGTACATCTAGAAAAGCAGGCTGGTTTTTATTTGATCACTACTATCCTTGCAATCGCTAAAAAACAAATAGAATTTAGTGATCCTGGCACTTGATGATTTCTATTATATTTGATCGCGATTGCTGCGATCGGCAAGAAAGTGTCTTAAGTCCGAAAGATCACTGTTTCTGAGAAAATTGCAAATGTGTTTTAAATTAAAGAAAGTTAAGATAACCTTTGCACAGCTTCGTCAGTAAACATTTCTGGAAAGAACTTTGATTTTACAATGCTAATATAGTTCTACCCATAAATCCAGTAGGTCACACCTTTCACTGTTTATACTTTTCAAGCGACAACGTTTTTTCAATCCAATACTATCGCTGCGATCGCTGAGGTATAACTTTTTCTTTCTCGATAGTTACCAAAAAAGGGTGCCGTTCATAATCATTTACGGTTCCTTTTTGTAGAGGAAATTTATTTAGCTTATAGATAACACGCCTCGCGTGCTTTTGCGCACACTGAAAGCGTGTTGTGCTTTTTCGGACGGAGCTTTTGTTTTAAAACTTTAACACGCTCTTTTGTTCGACTTGCTCACGCTTAATTGTCTCAAGCGTGTCCTCTGAAACAAAAGAAATTGCTAATCAGCCAAGATTGCAAGCGTGCTAAAGCGTGTTTAAATAAATTCTTTTGTTTTAAAGTGAAAGCGTGTCGTGCGCGTGCTTTCACCTTTAGCATTAAAGTCCTGTGGAGGGTCACATATGTACCGCTTTATGAAGTTTTGTTAACTTTTGCGGTTTAAGCCAATCAGAAGTAAGTACAGACAATAGAAAAGTTAGCACCTTTTTTGCATTCCAATATGTTCGTTGCCGTTCAGTGCTATCGTTCTTATCTGGACCTTTTTTAAATACAGTCTCTCATTTACTAGGGAAGAATAATTAGGGGAGGGGAGGGCTTTTTAACCTTCTTCCCCTGAAAAGGAGGGGGGTTATTTGAGAGGGGGGCTAAATAAAGGCTTTACGGTATTACAAGAAGGAAATTTCATAGTGATCACTCGCACGGCTTTAAGGCTTAAACAACAGCACCTGTGATAGTAGTTTGCCAGTCCAATACTGCTTGCCTGGCTTTCAGTAAGATTTTTCATGGAGGCCACTCGCTTTACTCTCACGGTACTTCCCGAGGGTAGAGGGGTAGTGCTTGTTGGCATGGCAGGAGGCTCTCCACCCTTCAAAACAAAAAACATGTCAACACTCGAATACATGGAAAACTATAAACCTACGCAGCATCTGATTGGAGCTGGTGTTAAAAAGAGTTCTTATGAAGGCATACTGTTTACAGTACTCTATTTGTTTGCACAATTGCCACGAGAAAACGCATTATGGGCAGCCACCTCGGTTTCAAATCTACCGAGGAGGAGGGCATCGGAGTCTAGAGCTTTTATAAATTTAATGCCTGGTTACAGGCACATTTGAGACCAAGCTCATTTCATACCTTTCTTTGCAGACTATCAGCGATGACAAAAAATGCCCGAAGACCAATGTTCATTCTCTGAAAATAAAAACAGAGAACCACTATAAAAAATAATTCTCCATAAAATGCACCTGACAAAATGATAGGAATGTATTATGAGTAAAAATATAATTCTTCAGCTTAAAAATGCATGTACTGTTAACGGACGAAGTAATTCAGGTGTATCACTGATCTCACCTCAGGACTTATCTGCCGAGAGTTTCTTCCAATACTGAGCAAGTCAAAGATGATGTCATTCATAGCAAAGTCTAGCTTTTCCTGGAAATGAAAATCGGATACAACTTTTAGCAATAATTTACAACAAAAAAAAGACTCTGAAAGAATTGCCTGATCACCAAGTAAAGAAAAATTACTGATTGTTAAACAAATTCTCCTCACCAGTGCCATAGAAAACATATGGATTACAGTTTGGGGATTATCTGATCATCCCGATTTGTATGATTAGATAGCGTTTACTTACCTGGGCAATAAACTGGATGATCTTCACAAAGTAATTTAATGGGGCTTCCCTGGGAACAACGGCTCGTGATCCGCGAGGAAACAGGACATCAGTGATACTTCTCAAACGACTTAACAAAGAAAGAAGAACAAAAACAAATTGAATACATTAGTTTAGCTAATTAACACTTATGGACAGGAAATGAGTTGATTTACATGAAATAATTCTTGGTTATTAAAATGATTAATCAATACATGTACCTCACGGTTGCTGTGTTACTTTCACCTTTAATTCTCACCATGTAAACCCTACAAAAAGAAAAGTTGTTAAGCGATACATCCCCATAAAGGCTACTAAGGTCTCACATTAAAAAATAAGCAACCATCAGTTTTTGAATTTATGGAAAATGATAACCTATCAGAGGGCAATCAGCTCTACCCTACTGTTTAAAGACCTAACAAGGACATAAAACATTACTGTAAAGAGGAGAACTGGCCACAGGACACCACCCTGCAGGCCACCCAACACTACCCTTCTAGGACACCTGCAAGCCAGGATTCAATCTCACAGGCACTGCTTCCACAGCTAGGGGCTGATCAAAAAGGAATTATGGAGGGGCAACGAGAAGCAGAACCAACAGTTGAAGACAACACACAGGCTTCATACTCTTTTGAGGTCTTCAAAGACCTTTTTACGTTTTCCAGGACCTTAGGTTTAGCTGTCACTTTAACTTTCCTTTTTTGGTGTATTTTTGGACTTTAAACAGTTCAACAGACACAACTCTGGTGTCAACCACACTTTGTGCCGTTTGCGCTGGTTAATTACTCCTCTTTATCTTACATTGTCATTGTCTTGTCATCTATAGTAACTTATCTATCTACCAAACAAAACTTTAATTTTCCACGACCTTCCAGGGCTGGAAAGTGCAATGCTTAAATTCCATGACTTTCCGGGATTTCCATGACCTCTACGAACCCTGAACACAGAAAGCACAAAGCTGATTTAAGCCTCTATTCCACAGTCTAACTTTGACTGTAAAACCTGTGAAAGAGACTCTTATGCCTGCCAAACAACTACAAATGCTGCTCCCAGCAGGATTGATCTTGACCAATCTAAGCATCAACATTACGTATACCTCACAGGGTAGCTGGATGCCTACTGTACTGAGTTGCTGAAGTTCTTTCTGATACTAGGAACTAATGGATTACCATAATTACACATACATGTACTTACCACACTAATCTGTATAAACACTCCATTGCTACTTTATGCATTTTGACATCCCTTTGCTATAAGCACAAAGAAAAGACGAAAATAATGTAAAAAAAAAACCAGTCAGTTGCCTGATACATATAAAAAAAGATTCACAATTTAAGCACATTTCCTAAACAATCATTACTGCAACATCATTACTCTGTACTTTAAATAAATTTAAACGAATTGTTTCTTTTTTTCAGGGCTAAGTATATAGTTACCTTTAGAGTTCCCAGACACATACTAAGGAAACTTGGCCAGCTACTAAGGAAAAAGGCTTTCTGACTAACACAGAGTAACACAGTAACAAGTGGGTACATAAGCTGCAAACAAAAGAAAAAAAATTGAATGAAACTAAAACTTATATTTATGTGTAGCTATAATATAAGTCAACTTTTATTTACAGTACAGCTCTCATAAACAGCAAGGGCATTGCAACCATAATTCCGAAAAGGTAGAACACGAGCAACAGGTGCAACAGGTGGAATAGGAGAAACAAGTAAAAAAGGTGGAACAGGAGACACTGGTGAAAAAGGAGAAACAGGTGGAAAAGGACGAATAGGACAGAAGAAACAGGTAGAACAGGTAGAACAGGTGTTACAAGAGGAAGAGGCGGAACAGGAGGAACAGCTAAAACAGGGGGAACAGGATGAACAGGGGAAAAAGGTAGAACAGCTCGAACAGGAGGAATGAAAGGAGCACGTAAAACATGAGGAACAGGTGGAACAGGAAGAACAACTGGAACAGGTAAAACAAGAGGAACAGGTGGAAGAGGAGGAACACGACAAACAGGTGGAACAAGAGGAACAGGTGGAAGAGGTGGCACAGGAGAAACACGAGGAAGAGGTAAAACAGGTGCAACACGAGGGACAAGAGGAACAAGTGGAACACGTGGAACGGGTGGAAGAGAAGGAACAAGTGGAACAGTTGGAACAAGTGGAACAGGTGGAATAGGCAGAACAGGTGGAACAGTTGGTACAGGTGGAACAGGTGGAACAGGAGGAACAGGTGGAACACTTGGTACAAGTGCAACAGTTGGTACAGGTGGAACACTTGGTACACTTGGTAAAGGTGGAACATGTGGAACAGGTGGAACAGGTGGAACAGGTGGAACAGGAGGAACAGGTGGAACACTTGGTACAAGTGCAACAGTTGGTACGGGTGGAACAGTTGGTACACTTGGTAAAGGTGGAACACGTGGAACAGGTGGAACAGGAGGAACAGGTGGAACAGGAGGAACAGGTGGAACAGGAGGAACAGGTGGAACAGTTGGTACAGGTGGAACAGTTGGTACAGGTGGAACAGGAGGAACATTTAGTACAGGTGGAACAGGTGGTACAGGTGGAACAGTTGGTACAGGTGGAACAGGAGGGACAGTTGGTACAGGGTGAACAGGTGGAACAGTTGGTACAGGTGGAACAGGAGGAACAGTTGGTACAGATGGAACAGGTGGTACAGGTGGAACAGTTGGTACAGGTGGAACAGTTGGTACAGGTGGAACAGTTGGTACAGGTGGAACAGGTGGAACAGGAGGAACAGGTGGAACAGATGGAACAGGAGGAAGAGGTGGAACAGGTGGAACAGGACGAACAGGTGGAACAGGAGGAACAGTTGGTACAGGTGGAACAGGAGGAACAGGTGGAACACTTGGTTCAAGTGCAACAGTTGGTACAGGTGGAACAGTTGGTACACTTGGTAAAGGTGGAACAGGTGCAACAGGTGGAACAGTTGGTACAGGTGGAACAGGTTGAACAGGTGGAACAGGAGGAACAGTTGGTACAGGTGGAACAGGTGGAACAGTTGGTACAGGTGGAACAGTTGGTACAGGTGGAACAGGAGGAAAAGGTGGAACAGTTGGTACAAGTGGAACAGGTGGCACAGGTGGAACAGGTGGAACAGTTGGTACAAGTGGAACAGTTGGTACAGGTGGAATAGTTGGTACAGGTGGAACAGGTGGAACAGTTGGTACAGGTGCAACAGGAGGAACATTTGGTACAGGTGGAACAGGTGGTACAGGTGGAACAGTTGGTACAGGTAGAAGAGGAGGGACAGTTGGTACAGGGTGAACAGGTGGAAAAGTTGGTACAGTTGGTACAGGTGGAACAGGAGGAACAGTTGGTACAGGTGGAACAGGTGGTACAGGTGGAACAGTTGGTACAGGTGGAACAGGTGGTACAGGTGGAACAGGTGGAACAGGTGGAACAGGAGGAACAGTTGGTACAGGTGGAACAGTTGGTACAGTTGGTACAGGTGGAACAGGTGGAACAGTTGGTACAGGTGGAACAGGTGGTACAGGTGGAACAGTTGGTACAGGTAGAAGAGGAGGGACAGTTGGTACAGGTGGAACAGGTGGAACAGGTGGAAAAGTTGGTACAGGTGGAACAGTTGGTACAGTTGGTACAGGTGGAACAGGTGGAACAGTTGGTACAGGTGGAACAGGTGGTACAGGTGGAACAGTTGGTACAGGTAGAAGAGGAGGGACAGTTGGTACAGGGTGAACAAGTGGAACAGTTGGTACGGGTGGAACAGGAGGAACAGTTGGTACAGGTGGAAAAGGTGGTACGGGTGGAACAGGTGGAACACTTGGTACAAGTGCAACAGTTGGTACAGGTGGAACAGTTGGTACACTTGGTAAAGGTGGAACACGTGGAACAGGTGGAACAGGTGGAACAGGTGGAACAGGAGGAACAGGTGGAACACTTGGTACAAGTGCAACAGTTGGTACGGGTGGAACAGTTGGTACACTTGGTAAAGGTGGAACACGTGGAACAGGTGGAACAGTTGGTACAGGTGGAACAGGAGGAACAGGTGGAACAGGAGGAACAGGTAGAACAGGAGGAACAGGTGGAACAGTTGGTACAGGTGGAACAGTTGGTACAGGTGGAACAGGAGGAACATTTAGTACAGGTGGAACAGGTGGTACAGGTGGAACAGTTGGTACAGGTGGAACAGGAGGGACAGTTGGTACAGGGTGAACAGGTGGAACAGTTGGTACAGGTGGAACAGGAGGAACAGTTGGTACAGATGGAACAGGTGGTACAGGTGGAACAGTTGGTACAGGTGGAACAGGTGGTACAGGTGGAACAGTTGGTACAGGTGGAACAGGTGGAACAGGAGGAACAGGTGGAACAGATGGAACAGGAGGAAGAGGTGGAACAGGTGGAACAGGACTAACAGGTGGAACAGGAGGAACAGTTGGTACAGGTGGAACAGGAGGAACAGGTGGAACACTTGGTTCAAGTGCAACAGTTGGTACAGGTGGAACAGTTGGTACACTTGGTAAAGGTGGAACAGGTGCAACAGGTGGAACAGTTGGTACAGGTGGAACAGGTTGAACAGGTGGAACAGGTGGAACAGTTGGTACAGGTGGAACAGGTGGAACAGTTGGTACAGGTGGAACAGTTGGTACAGGTGGAACAGGTGGTACAGGTGGAACAGGTGGAACAGTTGGTACAGGTGGAACAGGTGGAACAGTTGGTACAGGTGGAACAGTTGGTACAGGTGGAACAGGAGGAAAAGGTGGAACAGTTGGTACAAGTGGAACAGGTGGCACAGGTGGAACAGGTGGAACAGTTGGTACGGGTGGAACAGGTGGAACACTTGGTACAAGTGTAACAGTTGGTACAGGTGGAACAGTTGGTACAGGTGGAACAGGTGGAACAGTTGGTACAGGTGGAACAGGAGGAACATTTGGTACAGGTGGAACAGGTGGTACAGGTGGTACAGGTGGAACAGTTGGTACAGGTAGAAGAGGAGGGACAGTTGGTACAGGGTGAACAGGTGGGAAAGTTGGTACAGTTGGTACAGGTGGAACAGGAGGAACAGTTGGTACAGGTGGAACAGGTGGTACAGGTGGAACAGTTGGTACAGGTGGAACAGTTGGTACAGGTGGAACAGGTGGAACAGGAGGAACAGGAGGAACAGTTGGTACAGGTGGAACAGTTGGTACAGTTGGTACAGGTGGAACAGTTGGTACAGGTGGAACAGGTGGAACAGGTGGAACAGTTGGTACAGGTGGAAGAGGAGGGACAGTTGGTACAGGTGGAACAGGTGGAACAGGTGGAACAGTTGGTACAGGTGGAACAGTTGGTACAGGTGGAACAGGAGGGACAGTTGGTACAGGGGGAACAAGTGGAACAGTTGGTACAGGTGGAACAGGAGGAACAGTTGGTACAGGTGGAACAGGTGGTACAGGTGGAACACTTGGTACAGGTGGAACAGTTGGTACAGGTGGAACAGGAGGAACAGGAGGAACAGTTGGTACAGGTGGAACAGTTGGTACAGGTGGAACAGGCGGAACAGGTGGAACAGGAGAAACAGGAGGAACAGTTGGTACAGGTGGAACAGGTGGAACAGTTGGTACAGGTGGAACAGTTGGTACAGGTGGAACAGGTGGAACAGGAGGAACAGGAGGAACAGTTGGTACAGGTGGAACAGGTGGAACAGTTGGTACAGGTGGAACAGTTGGTACAGGTGGAACAGGAGGAAAAGGTGGAACAGTTGGTACAAGTGGAACAGGTGGCACAGGTGGAACAGGTGGAACACTTGGTACGGGTGGAACAGGTGGAACAGTTGGTACAAGTGTAACAGTTGGTACAGGTGGAACAGTTGGTACAGGTGGAACAGGTGGAACAGTTGGTACAGGTGGAACAGGAGGAACAGTTGGTACAGGTGGAACAGGTGGTACAGGTGGAACAGTTGGTACAGGTAGAAGAGGAGGGACAGTTGGTACAGGGTGAACAGGTGGGAAAGTTGGTACAGTTGGTACAGGTTGAACAGGAGGAACAGTTGGTACAGGGGGAACAGTTGGTACAAGTGGAACAGTTGGTACAGGTGGAACAGTTGGTACAGGTGGAACAGGTGGAACAGGTGGAACAAGTGGAACAGTTGGTACAGGTGGAACAGTTGGTACAGTTGGTACAGGTGGAACAGGTGGAACAGTTGGTACAGGTGGAACAGGTGGTACAGGTGGAACAGTTGGTACAGGTAGAACAGGAGGAACAGTTGGTACAGGTGGAACAGGTGGAACAGGTGGAACAGTTGGTACAGGTGGAACAGTTGGTACAGGTGGAACAGGAGGGACAGTTGGTACAGGGTGAACAGGTGGAACAGTTGGTACGGGTGGAACAGGAGGAACAGTTGGTACAGGTGGAACAGGTGGTACAGGTGGAACAGTTGGTACAGGTGGAACAGTTGGTACAGGTGGAACAGGAGGAACAGGAGGAACAGTTGGTACAGGTGGAACAGGTGGTACAGGTGGAACAGGCGGAACAGGTGGAACAGGAGGAACAGGAGGAACAGTTGGTACAGGTGGAACAGGTGGAACAGGTGGAACAGAGTGGAACAGGTGGAACAGGAGGAACAGGTGGAACAGGACGAACAGGTGGAACAGGAGGAACAGTTGGTACAGGTGGAACAGGAGGAACAGGTGGAACACTTGGTACAAGTGCAACAGTTGGTACAGGTGGAACAGTTGGTACACTTGGTAAAGGTGGAACAGGTGGAACAGGTGGAACAGTTGGTACAGGTGGAACAGGTGGAACAGGTGGAACAGGAGGAACAGTTGGTACAGGTGGAACAGGTGGAACAGTTGGTACAGGTGGAACAGTTAATACGGGTGAAACAGGAGGAACAGGTGGAACAGTTGGTACAAGTGGAACAGTTGGTACAGGTGGAACAGTTGGTACAGGTGGAACAGTTGGTACAGTTGGTACAGGTGGAACAGGTGGAACAGTTGGTACAGGTGGAACAGGTGGTACAGGTGGAACAGTTGGTACAGGTGGAACAGGAGGAACAGTTGGTACAGGTGGAACAGGTGGAACAGGTGGAACAGTTGGTACAGGTGGAACAGTTGGTACAGGTGGAACAGGAGGGACAGTTGGTACAGGGTGAACAAGTGGAACAGTTGGTACGGGTGGAACAGGAGGAACAGTTGGTACAGGTGGAACAGGTGGTACAGGTGGAACACTTGGTACAGGTGGAACAGTTGGTACAGGTGGAACAGGAGGAACAGGAGGAACAGTTGGTACAGGTGGAACAGTTGGTACAGGTGGAACAGGCGGAACAGGTGGAACAGGAGAAACAGGAGGAACAGTTGGTACAGGTGGAACAGGTGCAACAGGTGGAACGAGTGGAACAGGTGCAACAGGAGGAACAGGTGGAACAGGACTAACAGGTGGAACAGGAGGAACAGTTGGTACAGGTGGAACAGGAGGAACAGGTGGAGCACTTGGTACAAGTGCAACAGTTGGTACAGGTGGAACAGTTGGTACACTTGGTAAAGGTGGAAAAGGTGGAACAGGTGGAACAGTTGGTACAGGTGGAACAGGTGGAACAGGTGGAACAGGAGGAACAGTTGGTACAGGAGGAACAGGTGGAACAGTTGGTACAGGTGGAACAGTTGGTACAGGTGGAACAGGTGGAACAGGTGGAACAGTTGGTACAAGTGGAACAGGTGGAACAGGTGGAACAGTTGGTACGGGTGGAACAGGTGGAACACTTGGTACAAGTGAAACAGTTGGTACAGGTGGAACAGTTGGTACAGGTGGAACAGGTGGAACAGTTGGTACAGGTGGAACAGGAGGAACATTTGGTACAGGTGGAACAGGTGGTACAGGTGGAACAGTTGGTACAGGTGGAAAAGGAGGGACAGTTGGTACAGGGTGAACAGGTGGAACAGTGGGTACAGTTGGTACAGGTGGAACAGGTGGAACAGGAGGAACAGTTGGTACAGGTGGAACAGGTGGTACAGGTGGAACAGTTGGTACAGGTGGAACAGTTGGTACAGGTGGAACAGGTGGAACAGGAGGAACAGGAGGAACAGTTGGTACAGGTGGAACAGTTGGTACAGGTGGAACAGGAGGAACAGATGGAACAGATGGAACAGATGGAACAGGAGGAAGAGGTGGAACAGGTGCAACAGGTGCAACAGGTGGAACAAGTGGAACAGGTGGAACAGGAGGAACATTTGGTACAGGTGGAACAGGTGTTACAGGTGGAACAGTTGGTACAGGTGGAACAGGAGGGACAGTTGGTACAGGGTGAACAAGTGGAACAGTTGGTACGGGTGGAACAGGAGGAACAGTTGGTACAGGTGGAACAGGTGGTACAGGTGGAACACTTGGTACAGGTGGAACAGTTGGTACAGGTGGAACAGGTGGAACAGGAGGAACAGGAGGAACAGTTGGTACAGGTGGAACAGTTGGTACAGGTGGAACAGGCGGAACAGGTGGAACAGAAGAAACAGGAGGAACAGTTGGTACAGGAGGAACAGTTGGTACAGGTGGAACAGGTGCAACAGGTGGAACGAGTGGAACAGGTGCAACAGGAGGA